AACAGGGTCTCAGCGATATGTTACTTGCGGACCTGTTTCTGTGACTATGCCTCACCGCCGACCGTATCCCCCACGCCGCTACGCTTATTCTTCCGTCCTCTACCTCATCTTGGTCCCCACCGCTGCCGTATACATAGGCCTAGTGGAAATAGGTGCCTAACTAAACCCTGTATTTAATATCCTGTCTTCTGCTTCATTTTTGTCTCCACCGCTGCCGTATCTTTAGTCATTGTCCCTTAGTGCACACGAGGCATCCCCTGTAATACTTTTTCTTCTCTCGCCTCCTGGAATGCCCCAGGGCAGGAAGAGATCTCTGGAACGGGCTTGGTATACTATAAAGTACTTTTCAGTATCTCTGATATTTCTCTAAAATGATACCGAGTATTTGTATGTCTGTCTTGACATTATCTCTCCACTGTCTTCTTGGTCGGCCTCATATTTCGTGGCGAAATGAAAATCAACGAAAGTTTTGGCAACACGCTTCAACAACAAACCTGGAGAACCAGTGTGTCTCTATTTGTCTGTTCTCGACCCTTTGACCTGTTCGGCTTGGCGAGTCCCTGCTGATAGCCACGCTGAAACCGGCATAGCTTTCAGGGTCGTTGAGAAACGCAAGCACCAGATTCGACCTTTTGCAAACAAAACATGACTTGTTCGATGTAGACATGCACCAAGACATGTCAAAATAAAATAATGCGGTTTGAATATCACTAGACAGGTTAGGGCATAATCTCTCACGTTAATGATCAAAGACGCATGATTACCATGATGATGATGATTAACCTCAGAAGGTAATGCACTCTCCCAGTTGAACTTTGACCTCTGCCGTCGTCTGCTAGAATAAACAGTTTCCTGACAAGACTTAAACCCGTTACTGCGGACGGAAGGTTGTGCTCCCACACACTGAACCAACAGTGAGTTGTCAGAGTGTTTTATTATTTAATGCGAATCTTCTACGTTAGTTTGAATGTGTCGATAGATATCTGTTGTTCGTAGAAGAAGCAATTATTTGAAAAGCTTCCTTCCGAATTGATAGGAATGAAATCCGGATTTGTTTGATTTCCATGCCCTTTCCACCAAATTAACTTATTAAGCATGGCGTGTGACTGACTACCGCCTTGCGTTGGTCTTGTTTGCTTAGTAGTAAACAGCTCTGAATCCCACTTTCTTTCCTTCCATCGCCTGTTGTCACATTTTATAGTTTACTATTTCCAGAAATACTTTGATTTAATCAGTAGTTATCATTGAATCCTTCCTTTGACTCACTGAGACGAACAGCGGAACAACACACATCTGTCTTTTCTCACGTGTAGAAGAGAGTTGACTGTGGTATTACAAGACAATTCAATTATTTGATTAAACTGAAGCGCACACGTGACACCGCCCATGATATAAATTAAATCCGTTTAACTGCGTTTGAGTTGTACCACATGGAGTGACATATTTATTGACTTTTAATTTATTTTAATCAAGTGCAGTGTGGTAAGCTGATTCCTACATTACTATTAGTATTATTAATATAACATGGTTGCTTAACTTATAGGCTCTCCTTGCACCTTTGGACGCAAGCTGGACGGCTTAGGTCGGCTTAGTGGGAGTTCTCTCCCTTGGCCGCATTGAAAACAATGACCGGGAAAGTCACGAGTCAAATTACATACTTACCTATCATCATCCGGGTGCGTGTAGGGTTGCGTAGTCATCATACGGTTGCGTCTAGGGTTACCTATCATACGGTTGCATGTAGGGCTGCGTAGGGTGTCTATCATCATACGGTTGCGTGTAGGGTTTGGGTTGAGGATAGGGTTAGGGGTAGGGTTAGATGTGAAACTGGTGACGTAGAACTTCCAAATACTGGGCGACAATCTGATGCTTGTCGGAGTGGCGCCACTGGAAGTGTGCCAAATATGACGGCAATAGCGCGTGGCTGGTGTCCAATCGGTGGCGAATTGTCCGTGTCAGTAGCATCCACCGTCCGTCGACTGTGCGCGATTATAGGGAACTACGGCGTCAAAATTGTCACATCTAACGCTAAACCTAACCCTACCCCTAACCCTACCCGTAACCCTACCCCTAACGCTACTCCTAATCCTAACTGTCACCCTAACGCTACCCCTAATCCTACCCCTAACCCTACCCCTAACGCTACTCCTAATCCTAACCCTAATCCTACCGCTAACCATACCCCTAACCACGCAAATTTATCAATCGGTCATTAAAGCATACAGATCGGCAAAACACCCACACACAGCAAAAAAATCCAGATTTCCCCACAGCGTCAAAAGAAAAACCCAGATCTGGGAGACACAACCAAGCATTGGCAGCCCTGATGTCAACCTCACTGTCTTGTTTGATTCGTGACTTTTCCGCGCCTTGTTTGCAATGCGGCCAAGGGAGAGAACTCCCACTAAGCCGTCCAGCTTGCGTCCAAAGGTGCAAGGAGAGCCAACTTATATGTTACTGAAACGAATGTGTTTCTTCTTTCTAAAAAAAGTTAGTTGCATATCCTTTACAGAAAGTTTCAGAACCAACCCCAGCATTTTTTGGCTGTTGTGGTTTTCCTGGGCACGTTTACTATTATGTCCAGTAGTTTGCCATTGCTTTATGCTTCTTTCTAAATACGTTTTATTTTTATGATAAAATATGCGAGATCCACTTATACAGTTTCAGGTGTCCAGGAAGATATAAGGTTCTGCATATCGCTCTTCTAGCCACCTCAACCATAGACAGATATGGTGTTGTGAAGAGTAACTTTAAGTTTCAGTGATATCTTTCCATCTTATTCTTTTTCTACCTCTTGCTCTTTTCCCCTCTCATCTTTTGGTTCATGCCATTTATAGTATGCCATCACGAGGCATTCAATCCAAGTGGGCAAACCATTTGATTTGTTGTCTCACTTTATAATATATGTAATATAGAATATGTTCTGTGTCGACTTTTTTATCTTATGACTTCATTCCTGAGACTGCCCAGATACAACGTATCAAGCCAACATTTCTAGCCAAGAGAAACACCGGTGGATGCCAAACTTTATGGGTCAGTTAGTCTTTCTTTTTTAGCCTAGGGTAGCTCATAGTGCAGAAGTCATACCTGTCCTTGTCTGGCAGCTCATTGATACCTGTTTTAGGTCTTGGATGTTTGTTTGGCTTGTTTTACCTCTAGCTTGGCTTAAGGCTGTTGATCTGCAACTCAGCAAGCCACCATCATAAAATATCCTTTGTTTTAGATTCAGATTTCTTGCTCTAAATATTGTGCTGCTTCGCTCAAACTTTAGAGGGTGCTGATTGAATTACAAAATACAGTGAAGTTCTTTCATACTAGAGACAACATTGCAGATGTCATCTATTTCAGGAGATTGAAAGAAGATTCCTGATTTTATCAGTGTATTAACTTTTCTGTTTGATCATTTCAGATTATTGAATCAGTGAGTATTCATAATTCTCCTTATTTGTTTGTTTTGTGTAACATTAGTTGCATTATGTTTGTTGTTCAGTTCTTTATTAATATCTTACCCCAGACGACATCACAGGACAGTCCAACATTTTAGAGGGAGGTAAGACTGGGTTTCCTGGCTTTCTGATGCTTTTAACAACCCCAAAACATCTAGAACTGACCCTAACCTCAACCCACCTATGTCCCACGCTGCATGTAGCCTAAGTCCCACGACTGCATGCAGCCTATTCTACCACCCCCTGAAATATTAGACTGTCCCATGACCTGTGGATTTTCCCTGTTTGGGGTAGGATATTAATAAAGCACCCATAATTCTTATTGTTTTGTTTTGTGTAACATTAGTTGCATTGTGTTTGTTGTTATTCATTTCCTCTTTTACTGCTTTTGAGTGTCGAGAGAGATATCAGATTCTGCTTCTTGTTTTTCTGACCACCTCGACTATAGGCACATTGCTGTTGTAGAGTTTCTCTGATGTTATCTTTCCTTCTTGTTCTTGGTCTTCTTTGTGCTCTATCTATGTCATTCTCTTCTTTTGATATATGGCTTATACGGTAGGGTGTCACAAGACATTTTCTCTTTAAGTTGGCAAAGCATTTGATTTGCTGTCTCTGTATGTCATTTATAATTAGTTAATTTCTGATTTTTTTCCACTTATGACTTCATTCCAGTAAAGTTGCTGGAGAAGATTATGACTGTTTAACCGCAAACATTTTTAAGAAGGAAGAGCTTCAGAACAAGAATAGACCCACTGCCTCCCCAAAAGCATGTCGTAAGAGTCGACTAATTGGGGAACTTCCTTTGAAGTCAGAGTGCATCTGCCGGAGAGGCAAGGAACCAACAGTCTGTATTCAAAAGAATGAGATCTGTAAAACTGATGCACATGCAACACTCAGGTTCTGGAACAGGACTGCAGTTCAGTAGTGGACGAGCAACCAGAACTTTCCGCCAGAGTATACAGCTGGTGAACGCGAAGAAGAAGAACAACAAGAATAACAATAGGGATTTTGTTTCCTGGAAAGTGATTCATTATTCTCCCTCAAGTTCTTATGGGACAATTTATTTGGTATTCATCCTGTGTGGTATAAGTTCAAGGATCTGGAACAGATTAAGGATTTATACTGAGGTACCACTGTGTTTCTGTCAACATTTGAAGGGCTTGGCAGAGTAAGAAGGCTGAAAATTCATTTCATGTGACACTCGTTATGTTCTTCTTCACGTTCGCCAGCTGTAAGCTCAGGCGTAAAACTCTGGGTGTTCATCCACTTCTGGACTAAAATCTTGCTGCAGAACTTGAATGTTGCATGCACATCTATTTCACAGATCTGGCTTATTTGTATGCAGACTTGTGGTTCCTTGTCTCTCAGGCAGATGTACTCTGACTTTGAAGGATGTCCACAATTAGTCGACTCCTTTGACATGCTTGTTGGGGAGGCACAGGGTCTGTCCTTGTTTCCCCCACAGTGAGGCCCTGAAACCCACACAGGGATCCCCCATTATTGTTATGTCATCTGATCTTTTATTTATTTCCCCCTCCCTCCTGATTATATTAGTTCTAGATGCATTTGGAAAACCTGGTCCAGGATTGACACTTCTGAGACTAAACTTTGTTGGAGACTATGCTCAGTGTCGTAGAGCATCAGCTGTGTCTGTGGACAGAGGTCAGAGCTTCCGCGGAAATTATTGTATTCTCAAGGCAAATTTGAAGGTTTGTTTTATTAATTTACACATTGCAATGTTTCCCCTTTGTGAATTTGAACAAAGAAGACACAAACAATAAATTGTAGAATTTATTGCCTAGCCTCATCTTGAGTTTACCCTGGTGAAACAGACAGTTTTTGAATGTAGTCGATTCTGTATTTCAGTTCAAAGGATTTATTTTTTTGCTTTTTTTAATCAATTGTTACTGTAGTATGCACCTGACGAGATACAGTGAAATTTGTCAGGCAATAAATTGTGCAATCTATTGTTTGTGTCTACATTTACTCATTGCTAAAAATCTCTTGGGATTTGACATGAATGACCAACTGAAGTGTTGTTATGTGGATTGAGTTGAGAATTAACATCACAGCACTCAGGACATTCATGTCAGTGCTCCATCACCATCTTCATTGGTACAATGTTTGATATTTTGCCTTTGCCTAAGTGTTGAAATTCTTCTTCTTCTTCTTTCATTCGCCTGAAATAAGTTGTCTATATCAGCAATTTTGTCTCTTGTATAAATTTCACTGTTGTTCTTAATTCATTCAGTGGTCCATAGAGTTTACGTTCCACTGTTGTTCTTTCTGGCCAAAAGGTTTGCCCTAATGTGTCAAATTTGGTGCAGTGCCTGAGTACATGCTCTGCTGTCTGGGGCACCTTTCCACAGGTGCACATGGCTGATACGCCTATCTTGAATTTTGTGTACATTTGGTTACCTAATCGGTTGTGCCCTGTTCTGAGGCGGAGGATAATGACTATGTGATAATGACAAATGGAGCCATGATGCGCAATACAAGACTCTCAATGTCTATTAGCCTCTCTTGCTCAAGCCTACCTCCCCTTCACGTGGTGGACCCTGTTCTTCCCAGCAATCCAGTTGAAGGTTGGGGTTTCAACCCCCAGCGGGAAACTGGATGGGACAACAAACGAGGTAAAGGCAAAAGACGAAGTGATGAGCCTACTCTCCTCGAGTATGACCACAGTCTACCCTTGCAAAACAAGATGATGAAGTCGGAGGCAACCAGCCAGGAGGCGCACCACAGCAATCAGGATGCCACGCACACACGCCATGGAAATATGTCTAAATCAGTGTGAAAATGAAAATTATGTTTAACCCCTTTGGCCAGCGAATGCTAAAAAATGGGCCATGAACTAAATATCTAGAAAAAACATTTTATATTTAAAAAAAAATTTTGTACATTAAAAAACAACTTTTGCATATCCTTTACAGGATGTTACAGAACCGACCCCAGCATTTTCTGGCTGCTGTGCCACTGGCACAAATAGGGTCCTCTACAATTTTTAAAGATGGCACTAAGGGGTGATGTCGACACCTGCACGCTCATGTCTTTATTCAGAGGGACATTACTTAAGATTTATTTTAAGCTAGGTCAACCGGGGAGTCAGTTTAAAAAAAATAAACACCATGTAACTAAAACTCTAATTATAAGTCAAGTGCTTGGTTTCCATGTATTCTTAGCCTGCCGGTATCCCTGTTCAACTTCCTGTCCAACTAGGAGCCTGCATGCCAGACACTTGCTCTGTTGATGATAACACTTTGCTTGTCAGTGAAGGTAAGAACTCAGTGGTTTGTTAATGAATTCAAAGGAAATTTATATTATGCCAAATGAATAATATTGAAATCTTTCCCTTGTGGGTTCTGGGACCCCACTTTCGAGGGAAGAAGATACCCCCCACAAGCATGATGTAAAAGGCGACTGACTAGGGTTGTTTCCTCCTCATTTGGGTTCCGGGGCCCCATTGTGGGAAAAGCAAGAATAGACCCACTGCCTGCCCAAAAGCATGTCATAAGAGTCAGCTAATTGGGAGCTTCCATCAGAGTCGGAGTCAATCTTCCTGAGAGACGAGGAACCAGTAGTCTGCATACAAATAAGCTAAATCTGTAAAACGGATGTGCACGCACAACTCCGAGTTCTAGGGGAAAAGACTAAAGTTCAGAAGTGGAGGAACAGCCAGAGCTTTCCATCAGAGTTTGCAGCCAGTGAACACAAAGAAGAAGAAGGAGATATTTCAATCTTATTTCATTCAGTATACTGCTATATGTGGCCGAAACATGGAAAGTGGCTAAAATAATTGCTAAGAAATCTACAGAAATTCATTAACTGGTGCCTTTGCAGAATCACCTCTTTGTCCTCTTGTGCCTGTAGAGAGAGGCTGATCCATGTAGGCTAAACCCGAGGAAATCGATCCGCACAACTGTGGCTCATTTGTTAGTGGTTCGTTGATTTTCTTCTACAGTGATCCGTCTGCTGGGCATCAATGGGACCTTACAAGCTGCCCCTGCTGAATGCCACACAGAGGACCGGGACATGAGCACAGCTACAGTCATTGCCATGTCAGTGTATCTATGTGATGTTACCCCTCTCCCATTGCCATGTCAGTGTATCTATGTGATGTTACCCCTCCCCCATTGCCATGTCAGTGTACCTATGCGATGTTACCCCTCCCCCATTGCCATGTCAGTGTACCTATGTGATGTTACCTCTCCCCCATTGTCATGTCAGTGTACCTATGTGATGTTACCCCCACCTCTCCCCCATTGTCATGTCAGTGTACCTATGTGATGTTACCCCCACCTCTCCCCCATTGTCATGTCAGTGTACCTATGTGATGTTACCCCCACCTCTCCCCCATTGTCATGTCAGTGTACCTATGTGATGTTACCTCTCCCCCATTGTCATGTCAGTGTACATATGTGATGTTAACCCCCACCCCTCACCCATTGCCATGTCAGTGCACATATGTGATGTTACTCCTTACACACCCCCCCCCCCCCCCCACTTTCTCTCCGATAATGTTTTGTTGTTGTCTGTATTAGAGTTGATGATTTGTTTGACTGTGTTGTAATGGGAAATGAATTGATTAAATGATTGCTTTATTGACTGAATGCCACACAAATGACAGAGAAATGACCACATCTTCGGGCATTGCCATGCTATTGTACAGATCTAAAGTCACTTCCCTTGGTAACGTTCAGTTGTTTATTATTACTATTGTAACTTGGACAGTGAGGAGCAACTAAAAAATCAAATGGGGTCTCTGGAAATGTGGATATACAGAATAATAGGTCATATTTCATGCAAACAAAAAACAATCAAATACAAAGGGGGGTTCTGGGGAGACTGAATGAAAAGGACGTTATCGAAAGAAGTAAATACAGACAATTGAAATATTTTGACCATTAAAAGACTTAAAACTCTTTTAAACGCCATGCTGGAGGGAAAGGTTGATGACAAGGGAATGAGAGGTAGACAATGATACATGTGGAAGGACCACATCATGAGATAGTTAAACAACAGTCAGGGAGAGTGTACAACCAAGACAATAGAGAGAATGTATTGGAGATCAATTGCAGTCAGCCTTCCCTGTGGAGACAGCACCTGATTGATAATTCGTTTGACTGTGAGCTGTGTGGTTTTGGGAAATTGACTGAGTGAATGATTGCATGGTGGACTGATTATAACTAATTTGTCAATTAATTGAGTGATTCGTGAGTTGGCTAGAGGTTTGAGTGGTTGTCTGGCTTTAAGGTTCAGAGCAGGGCTATGTGTGTAAGTATGGCGTCCATGGCTTAGGCGTTGTGAGTCCAAGTCCTAATTCCAGCGTGCAGTGATGGAAACACACTGCTGGCTGCATGGATTTTCATCATGATGTGGGGCCTGGCAGGTCGACCCAACCTAAAATGGGTACCAGGATGGCTGTACTGGGGAAGTAAAGATGGCCGGCGTAATGCTGACCACATTAACCACCTAGTGCCGACGGTCTGTAAAAATATGGGAGCTCTTCCCATATACCTGATACACCTAGAGGTGAGGAAAGGGATCTTTATTTTTACTCTTCCAGTAAGTTAAGTCGTGGGCCAAAATTTATCTATCTATATATATATATATATTTCAAGCTTAGTTCTCTTGCAGCTAACCTTTCTTTTTCGTCTCCAACAGAGTTGTTCTGGCAATTATTGGTTTATTGATGATTCTCGGCACCGCTTTTGACATCGTTGTTATTCAGTGGCCCAAATGGAGAGCCATCAACGAGAAAGAGAGTGCTGAAGCTATAGGATACACTGATGTTGGAGAGGTGAATCGGGAGACGGAGCCCCTTCTAAGCAATGATACATTGATAAAGGGCAGGGATAAGCCTACAGGTAAGGTAAAACAAAGTGAATACATTAACTGTCTTCTACATCATTGTTTTTGAATGGCCCAAATGGAGAGCCATTCAGGAGAAAGAGAGTGCTGAAGCTAAAGGATACACTAATGTTGGAGAGATGAATCGGGATACGGAGCCCCTTCTAAGCAATGATGCATTGATAAAGGACAGGGATAAGCCTACAGGTAAGGTGAAATAGAGTAAATTCATTAATTGTCTTCGACATCATTGTTGTTGAATGGCCCAAATGGAGAGCCATTCAGGAGAAAAAGAGTGCCGAAGCTAATGATTGTTTAGGATGGTGATGATAAGTATTCCTTTGACCGTGTGGGTTCTGGTGCAGGAACCTTCTAGGTTTTATGATTGTATGCCTCATTGATGCGTGCGATCTGTCCCATGCATCGCACGCTTGCCCAGTGTCTAGAGGGTTTAATTATAAATGCCTATAAATGTCTGTCCTCCACCCATACACTGGATTCACTCATAGCCGCCCACTCTCATTGGCACGGCACATGTTGATTGTGATTATACCTGCAGCAAAAGGAGGGCCAACCCAAACAAGAGCACCACTATATGCCACACATATGATCCACCAAATCCATTAGACACTTCACAGTAGCTCCAACAGAATAAAACCACCTTGTTGAAACACATAGGACTTTTCACCTCTGCAGTAAGCCACATGAGAATCCCATTTTCTCACCAACACTCGGGATTCATGACCCTTGTGCTATCATCCCACGCGAATCATATTCCCCACACAACTTGGGGAGTTTTCTGTCATTTATGTATATGGAGTACCCTCTGTTTCACCCTCTTCAAGTGGCCTAAATGTTTACATTCCCAAATGTCAACCAAAAGGTCAAAGTGCCACCTACACAGTCAGACTTGTGTCAGGTCATAATCACACTGAGCCGGGAATGCAGAGACTGGCCAGCAGATGCCACGGAGATGGAAATTTAGCAATTAATTCAAGATAATGCTTGCTCAGAGGATTTTATTATCTACACAGACAGTTCAGTGTCAAGAGACAAAAAAAGTGCTTGGGGCTTCTTAGCAAAAGTTAATGGTTGACGTTTGGTGCAGGAGAGCCTAGCATATGATACCACAACATCCAGCTTAAGAATGGAGGTGGAGGCGGTCACTGCAGGAAGGTCAGGACAGGCATGCTTCATTGTAGAGGATACGGTTGGATTTTTTCACCGGGACACGCCGTTGTGTTGGAAAATGAACAGGTGGACAGACTGGCTGGCTCTGCACAACTTGGTAGAATCATCATCATCATCAGGTGCCTTTGCCGACTGGCATGGGCAATCATGCCTCTCCACAATCTGCGATCTCCTGCAGCGTGTATCAGTTTATGTGCCGACACACCTCCATGCCATGCAACAAGACTGTCAAGCATCTTCTCTCGTTGTCTTCCTCTATCCCTCCTTTCACAGATCTTTCCAGTGGTCACAACATGTTCTATTTTCCCTCTTCTCATAACATGGCCTTCTGATGTCTGTGATAAGTTGTCTTCAGGCTTCCGTCTCTTTCAAAACCTCTTGGTTACACTTTTTGGCTGTCCAAGGTATCCTGAGCATTCTTCTGTAAAACCACATCTCTGAGACCTCAAGAAATTGTTTGGCCTGCCTACCGATTGTTCAGGATTCACAGCCATATGTTAAAACTGGATGTAGTTAGCAAGCAAGAATTCTTTTTCTAACTCTCAATGACAAGGATATATTGCACAAGATGTTCTTCATTTTATAAAATGCAGTTTTTGTCTGTCCTATTCTGTTTCTTATCTCAGTTATGCATCTTCCATCTGATGTTATCCATTGGTGGAATACTGATGCATGATAAGGCAGATGTCGTTAGTGCCTTGTGGAAGAGTGTGTACAGTTTGGAGGAGCAGATGGATCACCACAGTCTGGTGAGATTGATGCAGTGGGGAGTGACGAGAGGTTCTGGCAGATGCTCGAGGCTCAGAGGAAAGGCAAGATGGACGTTTAATCAGAATGCTACTGGCACCATTAGTATCGGAACTCTTCACTGGTTGCTGAAGATGGGGACGGAGTGCTTATGGGAATGCCCCGAGTGCTGTGATGTTGGTTCTTGAATCAAACCAACAGGTGTCCCTGTTGCGTGCCCATGCTTCACAAAGCATTGTCTTCATTAACTCTTTTCAGTCACAGTAAATTTAGCATACAACACTCATCCAACACCAGCATCTTTTCCTCACATCTTCATTTCACTGGAATTGGGTTCACTACATCTAATCCTTTTGCAAGCCGCAACCCCTGTGTGGATTCTGGGGTCCCATTGGGGGTGAGGGGGAGGGGGGGCAAGAATAGGCCCACTGCCTCCCTGGCAAGCATGTAATTGAAGTCGACTAATTGGGAGCTTTCTTCGAAGTCGGAGTGCATATGCCCGAGTGGCAAGGAACAACCAGCTGCACATGAATAAGCATGTAAAATGGATGTGCATGCAAAACTCAGGCCCTTGCACAAAGCCAAAGTCCCAATGGATGAACAACCAGGACTTTCTGCTGGAGCTTTCAGCTCGTGAACAAAGAAGAAGAAGCAGAAGAGCTATATAAGGCTTGTTAAATATTTTAATATTTAAATGATTTTTGTTTTTAAACTTGCAATGGTTGGGAGAGGGCAGGTAACAGAGAAACAAAAACTGCTTACACAAAATAATTGAACGGGAGTAGACCACGAGGCAGACCAGGGAGATGATAATGAGATAATATCAAGACAGACATACCAACACTTGAAGTCACCAACTGGAAAGAGAAGGTCATTCAGAAAGATGAAATGGAAGCGGGTGATATCTGCTGCAGTGAACGTCATGGAATTGGAAGTGCTGCAAAAGAAAAAGAAGACAAACTGCATTTGAACCAGTTGAATGCAATCAGTTTGTCTTCACAGTTTAGACATGCAACTCTATACTTTAATCTTGTACTTTGATCTCTGTTTTAGAGATCTGGCTTATCTGTATGCAGACTGTTAGTTCCTCAGTTCTCAGGTAGATGCACTCCGACTGAAGGAAACATCCCTAGTCACCTTTTATGATGTACTTGTTGGAGGGGGGGGGGATTCTCTCCTCCCCCCCCTCTCCCCGACATGGGGCTCCGGAACCCACACTGGGAAAAGTTCACATTTAAATTCTTTTTTTTTTTTTCAGGCATCTATATCCAGCTGCTTTTGGCATTTTCTGTGTACACCAATGGATCTAAGGTCTTGGACACCAAGCAGCCTGCAGGATCTCTCAGTGCCATCCACGGCATCCGGTTCCTCAGTATGTGCTGGGTCATCCTGGGCCATGTCTTTGTCTTTGGGCTGGGACAGTTTGGTAAGTCTACAGCACAGTGCCTCCATAAGTTTCCATACATGGAAAAATTAAACATATCACCAATGTTATTAGAAGCATAATTCCAGCCATACCTATACGTGTTCTTTAGCAGTGGAGGACACACATCCAAGTGTATTTTTTAACAATAGTAGTCATGGCGATGACGAGTGTGACTAGCAAGACCCACCCACATTAAGAAAAGTCTTCCACAATTATAGCATGGGATTTCAGGACAATTGTTGTCACCATTTGTGTTTAGTGTGTTTCTTCTCAGACGCTTAGCTCGCATCCTTTTTTGCAATAATTTCTTCCTTCATTCTTATTCCTTTCCTAAAGTGACCTCTTCACACAACACGGTTCACAGCATTATTTCCCCTTTCTACGAGCTCACCTCAGTATCCGTATCATTTATGTCCCATTTGCACACATCTTTATATGGTAGTAGAGGTTAGCCTCCGCATCTTCTACCCATCTTTAGTTCATCATAAGGATAATCTTAGTGACTCTGCCATCCTCCATTTTCCAGGTGTGACCAAGCCACTTGAACCTTCGCAGACGGAGCAATGAGAAAACTGGTAGATTTGTAGAACATATTTAAAAAAAATGGTTTTCATTTAAAAAAAAAATATGTTTGTCCTATGTATGGAAATTTATGAGACACCTTGAGATAATCCCACAGCAGTGAAAAAGGGGCTAGAGAATGAGATTTAGCAGTTGGTGAGGTCATGAGGTGAGCCGCATATGATAGCTTCTTTTCAACGTTTACCGGCTGTTGATTGCAGCGAGAAGTTCTGGTTGCTTGTCCCCTTCTGGATTTTGGTCTTGTTCCAGAATTTCAGATGGTATGCACATTTTTTTTTAAAAACAGATCTGGCTTATCTATATGCAGACTGTTGGTTCCTCGCCTCTCAGGCAGATGCACTCTAGACTTTGAAGAAAACTCACGTAATTAGTAGATTTGTATGTCGTGCTTGTTAGGGCAATGGGTCTACACTTTGTTTCCCCCAAAATGTGGTCCTGAAACCCACACGGGGATATGTTTTAACAATTGGAGATAATTATAGAAAGAGAATTAGTAGGGGACAATGAGAGAAAATGCCTGACAGACCTTTTGGAAGGGCCTCAGCACACAAACTGAAACATACTGCCGGAGATTGCAAGATTTAGAGATGCATGAATTCCCACATCAGTCAGCAAAGCATGTGATGATGATAAAGGCTGTATTTAAGCTAAGTGCAACATGTACTGCTGCACAGGCGGGTAAAATTCTTAAAGTAGCATAATATAATTATGATTTATTTTAAATGCTTTCATCAATATGCCTGACCACATCAGCCAACAAGTGCCAATTGGTCTATAAAATGTAGGTCTAGCCCTATATGCCCAATACATCTGAAGGCTTGGAAAGAGGTCCTTTTATCATTATGAAAGATTTATCTTGTATTGTTCATCACCGCTTCTTTAGGACCCCAACTTGCACAGTTGTTTTATCGGTTGCATATTCAGCTCAATTTCAATACCTTCTATCCCCGTGTGGGCTCCAGGGCCCCACTGTTGAGAAAACAAGAATCACCCACTGCCTCCCCAACAAGCATGTTGCAAGAGTTAATTTATTGGGGGCTTCCTTCAAAGTCGGAGTGCATCTGCCTAAGTGGCAAATCTGTAAAACAGATATGCACGCAACACTCAGGTTTTAGAACAAGACTAAAGTCCAGAGGTGAATAAACAACCATAACTTTTTTGCTGCAGTTACAGCTAGTGAAGTTCAAAAGTGAAGTAAATAATTCAACAGCTTATCATTTATAGTCTGTAAACAAACAGTGATGCTGAAATTTAGCTGGGGGAAAGGGGGCATGAAATAAATTATTTATAGATAAAATAAATAAAGCGGATGGGGTGAAGGCTCTAGGGCAGTGGTTCTCAACCTGTGGGTCACGAACCTTTTTTGTGTCAAACGACCCTTTCACAGGGGCCACCTAAGACCATTAGAAAACACATATTCATTGAAGTTACGAAGTAGTAACAAAAATAACTGTCTGTGCGTCGTCACCGCATGAGGATCTGTATTAAAGGGTTGCGGCATTAAGAATGTTAAGGGCCACTGCTGTATGTAATCAAATGTATAGTGCAAAAGAACTAATAGGAAGTCCATACACTGAAATCTAATCCACTAGAGGGTAAGTAGAGGTTCTGTGAGATATTCAACATTGAAGGAGAAACAGAGGCAGACTTTTTATCAGGTGGCAGTTGGTACTATTAGCATGTCAACTCTTGCTTGGTTACTGGAGAACAGTTGGGAAATGTCCCAAGTACCGTGATGTCAGTTCTTGATTCATTCATTCATTGTTTCAGTAAATGACTGCACAGGGGCGTCATACATTCTCAATATGGCCCTGATGGTGATACATGGGAAGAACCTAGTGATACAGTCGTAGAAAGCAAGAACAGTGTGTGCTTTGCGTAACTTCCCCTGCTTGATATTCTTCTATTTACAGAGAATTTGTTTTCTGAGATGCCTATTTTGATGGGGCGATGGACATTTGATGCCGTTGCCAATGCTCTGGTGTCAGTTGATACATTCTTCACTCTCAGGTAATTCAAAAATAGATTCTCACATGCCTTTTGCTCACATTAGCTCTTTGAGTCCCAAGAAACGCATCCTACGTTCAAATGTTCCTACCCAGAAACCCAAAGAACGCATGATGCGCCGATTTTACGTCTCCTTTGACTACCCCTTGGGCCTTTCTGCTAAACCCAGCTGGGACTCAAAGAGTTAAAAGACATAGCACTCTTTTGAAAACTGTACTGAAGGTTTTTTGGAATGAAGCCAAACTACACACTACAAAAGAACAGCAGATACCTGCCTCCTTGGAAATCAATGCTGCCATATAACAAGAATTCAATAAACATGAAGAATCACCATCAAATAAATGTTTCTGACAACAAAATCTTATGGAACCACACACACAAATCACAAGTACTGCACAATAAAGATCACAATTATAAGGTTGAAGGCAAGACAGCACAATGTAGACAGTGATACAAGTGGGAAGACAACATCAAGAGATGGACAAACATCAGTCTGAAAGAATGTACAACCAAGACAAGACAGCCTATTGGAGATCCAATGCAGCCAACATTCATTATGGAGATGGCATCTGAGTGACTGATTGATTGATTGATTGAGCCTGTAATATTTTCCCCCATTTTCCTTTTTAGGCACTTCCTGTCCTACTTCTCCTTTCTTTTGTGAACACATCCATTTCTCTTCTGTTTTATACATTCGTTAGCTGCAAAATCTGGTGGAAATTATTTTTTTTTAGTGGGTTCAGTTTTGAGAATGCATCTGATTGGTTGAGTTCTCTTCCTGCTTCTCCTTTCTTTTGCTGGGGTTGGTTCTGCAATTTCCTGTAAGAAGGTACGCAGCTAACTTAACTTCCTTTATGTTCAGATCTTTTAAGACTGGTCTAGTTGATTATAATGAATCTTTTACACTAACACGATTGCGTGACATGCGAGTGAAGCATGGTGAAGCACTCTGTGCCTCCTTCAGGGCAGAGATAGGAGACATTATAACCAGCCTTTGATAGAAATAGAAGTATCTTGGAGTGGCTGCTGCATCGGTGGACAGAAAAAAAAGTGAAGGACCCTTTTCCACGCCTTTAGGCATATAGGGCTAGACCTATATTTTTATAGACCAATCGGCACAAGATGGAATTGGAGGACAGAGCAAGCATGGAAATGCATAGTGCTGTGACGTCAATTTTAATAACATAACATCTTTTAGGATGTCAGTATTTCTTCTTTGTCTTTGGAATTCTGAGATTCTTTCTATAGCATTTCAGCACAAAAACCCCTTCTGTCTGTGTTAATGACTGTGAGATAGTCCATGAATAACATCCATATGTGGCTACATGGAGGATGCATGTTCTTATAGTGCACATTTTGAAATATTTTTATAAATATAGTTTGCTTATATTTTGTAACAGTGGCCTGTTGACGGCTTACCTGGCACTTAATGAGATGAAAAAGCAAGGGTGGAAACTTAACTGGCCTCTATACTACTTTCATCGATTTTGGAGGTATGTTTATGTTATCTGTGACTTTTATGATAGTGGTGACATAAGTGTGAACATGAATTGTAATTCCAAAATACTTGGTTTGATTGTTTCTACAAGTGATTTGGCAGTACAGTGCTATACATAGATTTCAACAATTGTATAGAGTACCGACTGCTCAGAAGCAATGGCAAACTTGCCCATGTGGGTTCCGGGGCCACAATATAGGGAAAACTAGAATAGACCCACTACCTACCCAAAAGCATGTTGTAAGAGTCGACTGATTGGGAGCTTCCTTTGAAGTCCGAGTGCATCTGCCTGAGAGGCAAGAAACTTACAGTCTGCATACACATCAGATCTGTGAAACGGATGTGCATGCAACACCTCAGGTTCTGGAACAGGAGTGCAGTCCAGAGGTGGACAAACAACCAGAGCTTTCCGCCAAAGTTTACAGATGGTGAAGGCAAAAAAAGAAGAGGAGAATTGAAAACTCATAATTAATCACCAAGTCCTTTACAGAATATCGCTGTCATCAAGGCACACCTGAAAGCCTCTCTACCTCTAACCACTTTTCCAGCGCTGTGGGTTTTCATAGCCATTTGGTCTTTCATGACATGCATGCACTTTGGTTGAGGTTTGCCTCTGCCTAATTTTCCAAAAACTACCTTCCATCACCATACTCTCCAGACCATGTTTAACAGATTACCTCAGCTTTTGGAACAGGATGCTGTTTATGAGCCAGTTCTCCTCTTCTCCTAAAATCACAAAGAGACAGAAATGCTGAAGTTGTTCTGCAACACCAGTACAGGATGTGCAATGTTTTTATTTATTGTTAATTTTAAATTTCTTTAAACGTTTTCTGTATGTATACTTATTTTTGCTATGCTTTTCATATTCTTTCTTTTTTTGTTTTCTCCCCCCCCCCATTATTTTTCTCTAGACCCTGTTCTGCTTTTCAGCAGCAGGTTTTGAAACGATATCTGGTGTGAGTCTTGGTATGTGCTACATAACTGCTGTCCTTCAGTGTCTCAGATGTTCCATCTATTTATCACCTGCATGAGCAACTCCAAGCTTTACTTCCAATGTGTCTAAGTGTCAGGGATCTGGTGCACTATTCCATGGCAGGCTTGATTCTTGGATGGGTCATGCTGAGGAGGTTATTCAACAGGTTTGTTCACTTGAGGGCATAGAACTGTGCCAGTCTGCTTAAAATTAGGCAGAGACTTTGGACACAAAAACCCATTAATAGTAAAGGCAGAAGTTCAAGTCTTGATTTTTAGGAATTCTGCTGTTGGATATGCAGTTATTTACACTGATGGATCCATCATTTAACGTGTCCAAAGCAAGTGGGCTTTCATGATTCTGATTGGAGGAAGAACTGTAAAGGAAGATATTAGTACATTTGCCTTGACTACAAGTAGTCCGACTGAGAGTGATGGTGATAAAAGCATGACCTGGATAAAGACATACATTCTTTCCTCTGCATGTTTTCTAATTCCATTATTATGCTTAAGAAGATAGAGACACAATGGATTTGACAGGAGTCAGTTTCATTTTCAAGCCAGGACACTCTGGAGTAAGAGAGAATTAATAAGGGGATTGGTTTGCTGGCGAGGCCATAATAGTCACAGGAAAAGCAACAGACAAAGAAAGTTAACAGAGGACAGGTAGTGCTAACTACTGTTATATGGTAGCTAGGTCATATTTAAGTCAATTAACAGAGAACAGACACTATATAAAGGACATAAAGGACTCTTTTCCACTTTCCCATGTTTTTGGGCATATAGGGCTAGACCGATAGACCAGTCAGCACTCAGTGGGTGATGTGGCCAACATCATGTCGACTGCCTACCTAATACCCATTTAAGTCTGGGTCAATCTGGAAGCCATGGTCATTTTAAAAAAAACAAAGCCAAGCTGCATCAGGACATGAACCCACAACCTTCAGATCCAAAGGCAAGAATCTAGCTGCTACACCATAGTGCCTGCCACTGTTATATGATAGCTGAGTCATATCTGACATAGAGCTGACACTGTAAAGCATTAGAAAGTGCTACACAAACTCCACCAAAATGAATAATCTAGCATGATGTGACAACTCCTGTGTGCTTGTTGTTTCTGATCACCTTCAGGCTGACCCCTCCTTACATGCTGACTCTGTTGGTTGTCCTGGGTCTCATGCAGTACATGGGATCTGGAGCATTGTGGTCTCCGGTTCAACCTGTGGATAGGGACAACTGCCAGAAGTACTGGTGGGCAAATTTGCTTTATGTCAACAATTTCCTGAGTACTGAGAATATGGTAAGAGGGTTTTGATTTTGATAATAGCATAAACAAACTTAGCATTTTGGGTAATCTGTTAACCCTGTTGCCGCTGGAAGTCGCAAAACTGGCACTTCAAGTTAGGTTTAGTTCCTCGTAAATGTCACCTTTACGAATTGTCTACAGTGACGTTTTTACGAGATGAATAGTTTATGCTACCTTTTTAAGGATTCTTGTGTGTGTTGTATTTCTTGTCATTGTTCTGCTATTGAAAGCTAATTATCACAACCATCATTGTTTGTTTGTTGCTATTGGTTCTGTTGAGCTGAAATATACCTTGTTTTTCTATAGTTTTTTTTTTCTTCTGGATGTGAAGCGACAGAGATGTGGTTTTACAAATGAAAGATGAGAACACTTTAGAAAGATAAAAAGAATAATGAAGACGTCTTAAAAGAAAATTAATAATGAAGAGAAACTTATATCAGAAGAAGACAATTCCCATTCTTTAGTCATATCATGAGAAGAAAGTAAAGTACATTTTGACAGTGTTGGGGGGGGGGGGGGGGGCAGATGAAAACCGAGAGAGAAGATACTATACATTTTTACATCATGGCATAGAAGATCATATGTGCCAGAATTGATTGAAAGTACACAAGACAGAAGGTTGTGGATATACATAACTGCTAGTGCCACGTGGAATGAATGGAGTATGAAAAATAAACTTTGTCAGAATGTATAAATTCTGTCTGAAGCAATATGAAAAATCTTAAACTTCAAAATGTCATGGTGTCTGCACCTAGCCATGTGGCCGTAAATCCTCTGCCTTTGACTTCCCAATCCTACACCCAGGGCTTTGATTTTCTGGTGGTACTTTTTGTTTGGGCATCATTTTCTTCAACGCTACTGTCCTAGACACTGTGCTAAGTTACCTGCACCGTTTTTAAAGACACTTTGTGGTGAGTTACCGACACCTTTTTAAGACACCTGTGGTGAGTTATCCTCACCTTTTTTAAAAGACATTTTTGGTCAGTTACTGGCACCTTTTTTAAAAGACACTTTGTGGTGAGTTACCGGCACCTTTTTTTAAAAGACACTTTGTGGTGAGTTACCGGCACCTTTTTTTTTAAAAGATACTTTGTGGTGAGTTACCGGCACCTTTTTTTTGAAAAAAGATACTTTGTGGTGAGTTACCAGCACTTTTTTTTAAAAGATACTTTGTGGTGAGTTACCGGCACCTTATTTTTAAAGATACTCTGTGGTGAATTACTGGCACTTTTTTAAAGATACTCTGTGGTAAATTACTGGCACTTTTTTAAAAAGATATTCTGTGGTGAATTACTGGCAGTTTTTTTTAAAAAAGATACTCTGTGGTGAATTACTGGCACTTTTATCTAAAGATACTTTGTGGTGAATTACTGGCACTTTTTTTAAAAAGATATTCTGTGGTGAATTACTGGCAGTTTTTTTAAAAAGATACTCTGTGGTGAATTACTGGCACTTTTTTTTAAAAGATACTTTGTGGTGAATTACTGGCACTTTTTTTTAAAGATACTCTGTGGTGAATTACTGGCACTTTTTTTTAAAGATACTCTGGTGAATTACTGCCACTTTTTTTTAAAAGATACTCTGTGGTGAATTACTGGCACTTTTTTTTAAAGATACTCTGTGGTGGATTACTGGCACTTTTTTTAAAGATACTTTGTGGTGAATTACTGGCACCTTTTTTTTAAAGATACTCTGTGGTGAATTACTGGCACTTTTTTTTAAAGATAATCTGTGGTGAGTACCGGTATGTTTTTTTTATATATATATAGAAAAGCTAACGTGTTTGATATTGTTTGTCTTGCAGTGTATGGGTCACACCTGGTACCTGGCCAATGATATGCAGTTCTTTCTTGTGAGCCCTTTGATGATCATCCCATTTTACTTGTAAGGATTTCCTCATTTTTTAAATATTTGTTGGGGGGGGGGGGGGGTATTGTACATAAATGTTCTGTAAAAACAAAAACAAATTGGAGTAGAATTTGATCCGGCCTCTGTGTAAGTTCTGGGGTTCCATTTAAGGAAGTCAGTGACTGGGTAAATCTGCTGCCCCCTAGCAAGCATATCATATGAAAAAAATATTACTAATTAAGTATTTTGTTGAAATCTGATGTATGACAAGCAAGATTTGGTGAGGGCCCTTTTAGAACTAGTGAACAATGCAGAGGCACAAATAGATCATTACGATCTGAGGAGAATGGCGCTGCCGAGAGTTAGCAGGGGATCTGGTTGACGCTCAGCGCTTTAGGGAAAGGCGAGACAGATATAGTCAGTTAGTTAATAGTACCATCAGAATTGATGTATGACAAGTTAGATATCATGAAGGCCCTTTTGGAGCGAGTGAACAGTGCGAGGTGCAGATAGATCATTACGGTCTAAGGAGAATGGTGCTGCGAGGAGATACCAGGGGATCTGGCCAATGCTCAACACTCAGGGGAAGGATGAGATGGATATACAATCAGACGGTTACTTGTACCTTCGGAATTGGAACTCTTCATTTGCTGCTGAAGATGGGAACAGAGCGCTTATGGGAGTGTCCCGAGTGCTAAGATGTTGATTCTTAATTCAACATGTGTTGAACCAGTAACTGCATATACAGCAGCCCAGCTGCATAGTATAACAGTGAGACAACTATCCCTTTAAGGGTGAACAGAGAAGAAGAATTTTTTAAGAAGTGTGGACCCTGCCAGGAAAGACATGTATACAACCAGTGGACTACT